GCCGAGTACCCCTTCGAAAAGTTACGATATTTGAAACGTGAACCTTCTCTATGATAGACGTTCTCTGATGCCAGTTTACGATTTAAGCGTTACGATCACGAATATAAACGTTACGATCACGTATGTCATAATACGAAATACAGACTTTTACGTGACGAGTGATACGTTCACGGATGTAACGATTCGACCCCTGCTTTATATGGTGCGTAATGTAGTCCTCGTTCACTGAAAAGGCAACGAAATACTGATTTTAATAAACCTATTGTTTTCTCATCAACTATTCGGCCTTTAGTATGATACGCATTAAATCTTCTTTTTCTGAGGCATGTGATTGGTTCTCTAAATGGAGTTATAAGCCATGGTTGAAGAGGATACCCTTTGTCTCCTTTAATGCGTACATTTTTATTAGGTGATCGTACTTTTATCAATGGTTTCACAACTGATATTAAATTTGCATTTCCTCTCCGATAATTGGTTGCGCTGATAGTTTTTATGTCACTCAAATCCCATATATGAGAATCGTGACTACTGCCAGGATATTTTGCACTAACGTAGCGTATTTGCATTTTGTGGTCGCACACTTATATACATACATTCAGAAAAGCGAATATATATAAATATTCAGTTTAAAGATAAATATAAAAGTCTCACTATCATAACGTTCAGACTTGAGAATCCTTTGCGATTATAATAAAGATGTTTATCTCTCGTTGGAGCCATTATCTTTATGTGAGTTCCATCAACATCAACTGCCATTGTCACACCCCGAATTTTTGACTTGGCAAAAAAAAATGTTTTTGATTCCAATTCTTCGTTTTCATTCWTGTAAATAGAAATCCACCGTGAACATAGTCTGTACTCAAGAATGTTTAGAACTTCCTYTAATATTCCACAGAATGTCGATTGGGCCACATTTATATTGAAGTTTGGACAGATCCGTGAACATAGTCTGTACTCAATAATGTTTAGAACTTCCTTTAATATTCCACAGAATGTCGATTGGGCCAAATTTATATTGAAGTCCTTTCCAACACAATGCTGATAATTGCCTGTGTTAAAGAAGCGCAGACATGCAGCAAGTTTTATTTTCGGAGAAAGAGAACCTTGTCTCTTATCATTTTCACATACATTTTCGTATTCGTCTAAAATGTATATAAATGCTCCTTTGTTGATGCGAAAATTTTTGAAGAAACTGTAAATGTATATGCATGTAAACAAAGTTATCCATGTCGTTTTTAGCTTAAATACACACTTATAATTATCCATTTCCAATATGTCTTTTGAATTATTCCTCAAATTTCTGCGCTCGCGACGAATTTGTATACAATTTTCATCCTCATTATCGCTATCACTTAAATGTAACATGATTGTATCCATTTCAAATATTTACATATATAAACGAAGCAAAAGCCCAGCCAATTTAATTTTTCAAACTTGTCAAATTTACCGTCGAT